TGTAACATGTGTAGTTACTGTACTCTGGCTTGTAAGGTTAGGACCAGGCAGAGTGATTAGACTTCAGGGAGGGTGGGTTTGATGGAAGTCAGTGTGAAAGGGGGACTCTGCAGAGCTGCAGGTGAAACATGTTACATTTCATATAGCTGGATGGGTTTCAGGAAACTGTAAAGCATGTGTTAGCCCAAAATCAACTTACATGCTTAGTATCTGCTCTTTCAGATATATTTTCAGTGAGATGGTTTTGGGAGATTCCATGAACAGGATCTATGTCTTGAATTTACATCATAATCTGTGTTATTCAAACAAGGTTTCTTAAAGAGGACATATTTTGCTAGAGAAGCCAAAGATGATCACCTATTATGCAAAATCCACCTTTTCATATCTTTTCTACATCAACATGTGTCCCCTCTGTGTAAAAAGATTCTGAAATGTTTAGGAAAAAAGATTCTCAATCTTTTTGTCTTGATCCATTTATATAAAAAAACCTGTCTGAAAATGAGCTGATCAGATTTTGGCCACTTTATGATGTCATAACGATGTTTTGTCTTGTGTAACCGTTAGCCAATCACCAACCAAGGAAACCCCCCCCACCCCCACCTTATCACCTGAATCTCCTCTTAGAGCACCATTGAGTTCTTTGAAACTAAATCTCTGTGAGGGGCGTGGGTAGGGGCTCCTTATGTTCATCTAAAGTAACAGACAGAGAATCAGCACTTTGGAAACAGGGCTGAAACAGAGGGGATTATGGGTAATGCTGCAATGATCTGCTCACCCCTATAGGACAGAGAGGAACAAAAGCATAAAAGGGCCTCTTTAAGATAATTAGAATTGTTTCCTGCTACATTATTTCAATGTTTCAGTGATTTGACCCCCAAAACCTGTTTTTTGGGGGAATGTTGATTTGATTCATTTCTTTGCTTATGTAAAGAATCTTTATGACTGGAGTTTAAACGTTGGCCCTTATTTAATTCAGAAACAGTTGCAGGTTTATTGCATTTGAATAACTTTTGAATGACTTTGAAATAAAAAAAAAACACTGCTTACAAGCAAGAGATTATATTATAACTTGTTTATTCACTCCTCACTCTCCATTCATCCAGTCATGTTATACAAAATATATTTATGTACAAAAATACATTCACCTTTTCACAAGAATAACACAGAAACATAAAAGAAAACGATTTACAGTATAATACAAGATAACTTAAAGATTAGTGTAAACATTGTCCTCAGTTATTTGATCAAATAGCAAAAAAGTCAAATTCACATTAGAAATATTACAGTTTTACTCTTATTGCTTTATGCGGTGCCAAAAAACACACATATATTACCCTAAAATTAAATGAGAACCACTGAAAAAAGTAGAACAGGAATTATATAACTCATATAAATGTAAACATGGAAATGTAAGGGCTTGAAAAAACTTGCACAAATGTAATAAACAATAAGTCCCTAATTTATTGTTGTTTGAAGCTGTCGCTGATTTCCATGCTTGAGATGAAAGCGAGAACAGCAGTAACATCGGTATTTTGTACTACACCATTAACACATTAGTATCTGCTTTTAATCATAAAGGGGATAGAAAACATATGTTTCTTATATTAGCAGGTTTTGCATTGATTATTGAGCTTCTATATGCATCTAGATAGAAAGAGAGCGAATGCATCAGTACTCTACAGTTACAAGATAATCTCTTGTAAATCTGTGTCACCTCATTTCCTCTCCTGCACGCCTGTCTGCTGATTACTCCGTTCACTGGCTCAGAACCAGTCCGCTTTAACAAAACACTCTTTGTTTTTTTTGCAGTCTAATTGAGTCTTTGGTAAATACAGCACATCGCCTTCCACAATAAAATGTGTCTAAGCTTTTTGTTGGCTAGTGTGTGTGTGTGTGTGTGTGTGTGTGTGTGTGTGTGTGTGTGTGTGTGTGTGTGTGTGTGTGTGTGTGTGTGTGTGTGTGTGTGTGTGTGTGTGTGTGTGTGTGTGTGTGTTGCCTTAGTTCAAAAGGTCACTCTGCAAAAATAAACTTCCCTTAAAGAGGATATGTTATACTAATTTTCCGGTTCATATTTATATTTTGTTCCTCTACTGTGACATGTTTACACGTTTTAATGTTCAAAAAGCTCTTTATTGTTCTCATACTGCCTGTGCTGCAGCACCTCTTTTCACCCTCTGTCTGAAACCAGAGCCCAGTCTGCTCTGATTGGTTAGCTGGCTGGCTCTGTTGTGATTGGTCAACAGCTTAGAGATGTCCCGCCCCTTAGCCCATCACATACAATGTGTTGTAGCGCTAGCCAATAGAAGCGTGAGTGTTACATAGTGATGTCACTATGTTCTGGAAGTAAACAAAGAAGTCCAATGGAGTAGTTCCAGGAAGGGGGGGGGTGGGAGATAGACCCTGGGACTGTAGCCTTTGCAGACCATGTACATGCACACAAACGTATATAACACACAACAGGAAAGGGAAAACCCCCTAAGACACAATAGGGCCTCTTTAAATTAGCTTTCTCTCATCTGAACATGTCCAGTAAAGTCCATCGCAGCATTAGATTTATGATAATTGAGATGAAAAAACTAAAACATAATCAAAACTTGTAACTAAAGGGACAGAGGTGATATAAGCAGTTAGATGCTCTGGTGAGTTTTAGCATTAAAGCTTATTACGATGTTGCTCATATTCACAATTGTGACCTTTCATCCCTCACGAGGAGTGTGAATCTGTTAGTTGACGAACTGAGCGCCTCCGTGTGGCACCATCTCCGTCGCCCCCCACGCCACCACGTTCCCCCTCTGCTCGCAGCCCTGGCCCTCCCGCAAAGCCAGCTGGGTAATCTCCCCCTCTGAAAGCAGCCTGTCCCACATGTTCACTCCCGTCATCTTCCCCGCGAACGCCAGCTTGGGATCGAACCCTTCTTCGAACCCGGCCACCCCGCTGCCGCCGCTGGGAGTCAGGGGGCAGCAGCCGTTCCTCTCCTGCCCCAGCTGCAGGGAGCCTCCGTCGGGTATAACGTGTCCTTCAGCGACCCCAGGTGTGGAGGTCACCTTTTTCCCGCCCGCCCACAGCGTCGCCAGGCCCTGCTGGGAGGTCCACGCCCCGCACAGGTGGATCCACTCCGATCCACTCACCACCCCCCGAGCCTCCACCAGGTGAGCCTCTCCTCCGATGGTGAAGAGAGCGGAGGATTGGCCGAGCAGCAGCTGGATCTCATAAGGGTTGCGGCGGTTCCCGTAGGAGAAGAGCACGGTTCTGTTGGAGACGGCGGTCGGCTTCACCCACATGCAGATGGTGAAGGAGGAGATGGACAGAGGGACTTCAGGAATCACGGAGGTGTAGATTCGACGGGAACGCATGGGGAAGAGGAGTGCCATCTCACAGCCTAAACAGCAACAAGAAGAGATAGGGTCACTGAATTAGAATCAACAGTAAGAACAGTGGTCAGATGATTCCACGTTGCTTGAAATTGCATTTAAACATAATTTATAGAACATTCCTGCAGCACTCTATTATATTTACGACTGTCTCTGCGCAAAATGGATTTGAAATGCTTGTAAAGCCATTTGGTGCACACACACAAGGTGGCAATCTTGGATACAGAAGTTCAGCTGAAGTTCAGGTGATGAGATCATGAATCAGAGTTTTTTTCCCTACCCCCACGAAAACCCACACACACACACACACACACACACACACACACACACACACACACACACACACACACACATCCCTCTGTGGGTGGTCAGGTTCATGGATTTGTTCTGCTTTGTTTCATTCTCTTTCTGTCTGGTCCCTGTACATGAATTACACTGCAAAGCATTTTGTGTATTCCTTTTAGGGGTCCTTCCCGGGTAATTTATCCGCCATTACATAATCCAATGTTTGTGCATTTTGAATTTATGAGCTCTGTAGGAGGAACCTAACCTTCGTCATTTACTTTGTACTCGTTCATCTCTCTCTCCCTCTGCTGGTCCTTCTCTTCTGCTCTCAGTCTCTAGATCCTTATTATTGATGTTACATTTGTCTCAGGTTTCTGCCACTCAGGAAAAAAAGAGGTTGAACGTGCTGCACATGCTGCACATGCTGCACATGCTGAACATGCTGTGGTGTGTGTGTGTGTGTGTGTGTGTGTGTGTGTGTGTGTGTGTGTGTGTGTGTGTGTGTGTGTGTGTGTGTGTGTGTGTGTGTGTGTGTGTGTGTGTGTGTGTGTGTGTGTGTGTGTGTGTGTGTGTGTGTGTGTGTGTGTGTGTTCATGATGGTTTCCATCTGGTTCTGCTTTTCCTAGTTTGCTTTGGTTTTTGTAGCGACAGGCTAACGAGTACCCCTCCCTCTGCTCTCTGTATGTAGGCCAGATTCACATTCCGGACTGTAAAGGTGTGTGCATACTTCAGACGGCTGACATGAGTGGTTCCTCACTCAGTGACACTTAACATTATTATGACTTGTTGTTTGGATGGACAGTATATCAGAGTAGTAGCTCTGCTCAAAGAAAAGCCATCTAAAAATCGGAGAATATTTGTGCCTACGGTCAGTCCAACAAGACGTCTGTTCTCTCATTTTCTTTCCATGCGTTTATTGTCTTGCATTATTATCCTTAAGTGTCTAATACTAAGATGAAAATCAAAGACAAAGGCTGAAGGCAAATCTTATAGATTGATGGACGACGTCTGACCGCCTGAGCCAAAGGTTTGACCCAATTTGTTTTTTATCTTGTGTGATGACTCAACAAAATGTGGGTATAAAAACTGTTCAACAAACAGAAATACATTATAGCGCTGATCCTATTCCTGCCCTCTATCCCATCCTCTCTACTTTTGACTTGACTGTATCAACGCAGACTAATGTCAGTAAGTGAAAGGAAAAGGATATGAGTGGACAACATGCCTGGAGACAGACAGGATAAGTGGAAAAGCTGTAAATAACACAAGCTGCATGATTAGACGTTCAGAAGCAACTTGACCTGAATGTGTCAAAGCAGACGAGAAAAATGAAGATGGAATGTTTTGTTGTAGAGGTAATGACAGACACACAGATTGTAGGATGGATGTCTCACCTGCGGGTAGTTGTCTTTGCCTCGATGACCTCAGAACCTCCCCCAGTTCCTCCCTCGTCTGCTGCAGCGCGGCCAGCAAGCCGTCCAGAGCCCCCTCTCGGGATGGGACCTGTTGCTCCTGGTTCCCTGCTGCCTCTGGGAGCTTGGATACCGTCTTAACATCCATCCCCATCCCAGCTCGTGGGCCGTTCCTGAGGCAACTGTGCTCCATCTTGGCGAGTCGGGTAGCTTGTAGTAGCGTTGCGGAGAGGAGCTGCTGCAGCCTCTCATCGAGGTGGTCGGACGTCCCGGCAGAATTCCTGGCAGAAGTCTGATCTCTGGGTTTGAAGCGCTCCATTGTTTCTTTGAAGCGGCCCTCCAGCTGCAGGGCCATCCTTCTTCCTGCCGTCTCAACCGCAACCCCACAGGAACCACCATACTGGGCTACAAACCTGACCAGAAGAACCAGTGAAACAAGTGTGAACCTCTGGAAGGTATCATTCTCAGTAACCAAGGCTCATTATGCACTAAATCTTATCTCTAAATGAGATTTAAAGAAAGCAGATACATTCAGGATACTTGTCGAGTACTCTTCTAGAAACAGGATACATTCAGAATAATTATAGAGTACTCTGCTAGAAATCGGATCCATGCCTGAGCTGTTCATATTTCTGCTGAGTCAAATCATTTTATTAGCTTAACTTGCGCGGCTATCAAAAAAACGAATTAATGAGCGTAACAACTCGCACCTCTGATCCCTTTGTCCAAACCAACCTGAGCATTTCCCCGCGCAGCGACCCCATCTCCACTTTGATGATGTCGTCTGCGTACTGCAGCATCATGTTCTCCCTCATCTGACTGTTCTCCAGCATGGAGAAGAGTTTGTCCCATTTGGTCAGGTCCCGAGAACTGCAAGGGACTGGAGTGGGCGTGGCTGGACAGAGGGATATTAAAAAGAGAGAAAGGTTAAGATATTGAAACCGAACATAACGTCTTGTCACATTTGCCTTATTGAGTCCTGGTACTTCCTGTCAGAGCACATGTGCCGTTACTCTGCATAGCATCGCCAGCATTATCAACTTTTAGGAAGCTAGCTAAGACTCCCTAGCTACAAAAAGGTTCAAAGCTACAAAAGGTGAATAGCAACTATGTAGAGAAGGTTTTTTTTGTTGTTGCGATAACTGGAATATTAGAAAGAATATTGATGCAACATGATGAACACGCCAGCTTTTGTTTGTAGTTTAACCAAATATGTACAAACAACTATCACTGGGTTACGTTGATACTGAAAAAACGTTTCTTTCCCCAATGCCCCATCTTCCCTGTCCCATGCCCGCCCGTGGATAATAATAGCACAGCTCTTCAACGACTATTTAAACTCCGAAAGCATTCCTCTGTCCGTGGGTTTAAAAACGAGAGTAATGCACTTTATTACACAATTGTGTGTTTCCAGATGCTAGGGCAGGTGTTGCTTGAATATTATTATCATCTCTGGAGCTTTGACAGGAATGTCAAGGTCCAACATGTTTTGGTTTAATGGAAGAGAAGAAATCCTGCAGGATGTTTAGTCACAGAGAACAGCAGGTAGAATGAAGAGTTAAGATGGGGGCACGGGAGGAAGTGAGGATGTTAGTGAAGAGATAAGAACGTGAGAAAGAAGGAGCACAATTGACTCATAAAACACTTTGCTCCTTGCCTGAAGGGAAGAACGTTTCCTTGACTGAATTGTAAAGGAAGTAGCTGCTGGGAGTTGGGGAGAGATAAAGCAGAGCCTGGGGAGTGGGAATATGTGTCACACACACTGTTCTGATTAACATCTTTACCTCACACACTCTGTTTATACTCAAAGACGTTTTCTAGAGCGGTTTCATCACAGGACTGCAGGATTTGTTTCTGGGTGCCTGTCCCCGAAGGTTCAAAGTAATTTAGACAGAAGTGTTCGTGCACTCTGTCAGGTCTGTCAGGATTATGAAGGATTTTGATGGATCTGGGGGGGAGTAGAGTGTAAAATGACCTTTGAAATGGGCTTAGCCTTTTGACCTCCTTAGTTTGAAGGCGTATAACAACTATTATGCTACTGTATCTCTTATTTTGAATTGATTGCGACTTATTTCATTGCAGGATTACTACCTGTTTAGTTCTATTTCTTTAATAGTTTCCACTTCTGTAATGAATGCAGTGCAGGAATGAATCTAGACACCATGCGTTGACATTACAACATGCAGTGGAAAACAGACACATGGAAAATAACTTAATGTAGTAGAAGTACAACCTGTACCCTCCTTTAGCCAACACTTACTTGTCTTTTTTATCAACCAAATGTTTAGTCAGACATTCATTTTTTTATTATTTCATGACCCTTCTTACATTGCTCCCATTGGTTAGTATTCCACTAAGAAATGTAGATATTTAACCCTTAACTGGGCAAACACATATTTATATTGTGTAACATTAATTGATTGGTATTTTCTACATTGCACCCATATTACACCATAAGTGCACCGTATTACTGCTTTCATATTTCTCCTTTTATTACACCCACAATTTCCGTATGGTGTAACATGGGTTAAAGGTGGGGTAGGTACGTTTGAGAAACCACCTCGAAATACACTTTTTGTTATATTCCATGGAATGCTCTTAACATCCCGATAGCAATGAATATCTGAAGTGCTTTGACAAAAAATCCATTAAAAAATGTCATCTGTGGAAGCCGTGGCGCTGTAAAAAGCACGACCAATCATCTGAGCCAGCCCGGCTAAAGTAACTGGATGGCCTACCTGCCTGTCAGCCTTCCATCTGTGCACAAACTGATCTCGTGCCCTCATTGGTCATGAATGTGTGCGTTTGTGTGTGTTGGAGGAGGGGCTCTGTAAGGAAGTGGCAGATTTTTTCCGGTTGTGTATTTTCAAATTCTAGGGCACTCGAACTGGTTTCTCCAAAACTACCTACCCCACCTTTAAGGTTAAGCAGGTAGGAACTGAAGTGATTTAACATGTGCGTGTGTCTTAGTTTTCCTTCTTCTTGCTACCACCTATTTTTGCTTTGGCAGGCAGAAACAACCTCTTTAAGTTTTTCTTCAAGTGCCTTTATTTTCCTATTCTCAGTCGTGTGTTAAAGGCACTCATTTGTCTAGGTTTAATCACAGTGCTGTGCCCAGAGCAGAGTTTTACTGCCTGTAATTACACCGCCTGCCAGGTTTAAAACAACAAACAAATTCAAAGTTTGAGGCGCCCGTACAAAACACTTTCTCATTTGTGTACACACTTGAAAACATTCTTTCCTCGCACAAAAAGGGGATTCTTTCCAAAACAGTGGAGAGAAGTGTTTCATAATGCTATACTGAGATTACAGAGCAGCCACTCATGCTGTTATATCTGCGGCTCGAGCTTTAAAAAAAACCCTTTCTGGCTCAGCATATTCTTTGATACTGCCAACAGTCTGTGTGATCTGCAGTCAGGCTACATGTAACCAGTTCACGGAATCACGATACAAATAAAATATTGCCTTACAGTTGCATACAAAAATATGTAATCAGATTTCTGTTACAAAATAAATTAAAATTACCAAAAATAGTGGAATACAAGCAGGATTAAAATGTTAGTCAAAACTAAAAAAAGCATATAGTGTTTGTTGTAAAAGGATTAGATTGTATTTCTTCTTTGTAAGCTTCACTGTTCTGTAGGCTAATACTTTAAGTGTGAATCTATACGCCCACATGTTCGTACAGGTAACTAGCAATCGTAACTGTCTTTATCTCTCCTATTCTGCAACCTGCTATATTCCTCTATTTACCCTCCATCTATCATTTTTTTTATCTCTCTGCCATATAGTTAATTTTTTACTTAAATCTCAGTGGCAACTCACGTTCTAACCACTCAGTTTTAATGCTCCTACAGTATGTTTGTGACAACATTTTCAGTCTAAGGAGCGTGTCAAATGTTGATTCCCACTGTGGTTATTAATGATAAATGGAGGATGAATCCTAATGTCCTGAGCTCACCTTTCACACAACCCCAATGCACGAATCCTCCAAGAAATTAATCCCATGCTCCATTATTAAATTAAACTCCAACCATGTCCATGTGGGAGTCCTAATCTCATAACACACACACACGCACACACACACACACACACACACACACACACACACACAAACACGGTTTAACACTTACGTTCTGGTGTTTCGCCATCGCCGATTTCATTGTAGAAGGTGTCAG